CGGGGGGGGGGGGGGGGGGGCAGTGGTCAGACCACACCTGCATTTGCACTGCCTGAGTGAGCTCTGCTGCACACGCTAGTGACTATGTTGAAAGAGCTGCAGTGAAGAATACATATCAGTTAATTAAACCTATATGTATGTCATAGACCTTTAATTTGACTTTTTACATGTGATATCATTTACTCAAGGATGACAAATCATCACGTTATCTGCAGGTGTATTTTTACTGGAAAAGAAAATTATGCAAGTGGATCATCTTTTAAAAGAGATTACTTGGAACTATCTGGACTTCTTAAGATGCTGGAAATACTTTGACTTTGGTCCCTGGCCTCTGACCATGTGCCATATTGTGCAAGTACAATTACAAAGATAGATAGCCATCCAGTACTTAACACATTGGCATGAAACTACACTTTTTAAATAAAGCTGTCTCTTATCAATAAAAGTGATCAGTGCTTGCTCTTTTTGTTGTTAATTATTCTTCTTTTCTGATCCTAGGTCAAGGTGGCCATGCCTACCTTAAAGAGTGGCTGTGGTGGGCTGGACTTCTCTCTAGTAAGTACCAGACACTCCTAACCAACATTAAAGTTTTTAGTTTTAAAAAAAGTAAAATATAAATTTATCTAAAGCTAGTTATGAAGTATAGCTGTGTTCCCAAAGATAAAAATTAATAATTTAATCATAAAGTTTGTTTCTTCATATTAAAATACATGAATAGATTCCCTTGGGTGTGACTTCCTTGATTTCAGTAGAATTTTTCTTTTATCAGCTGAGAATTTGGCACCTTTCTGATTTTTGCCTCTGCAAAGGAATGTCTAAAATAAAAAGCTATTCATCTAAAAATAATTACTAAACAACTTGAAACCATTTTTCTCTCTGGCTTGTTAAACTTCTGTGTGTCACCTAAATTTAGACTTGAACTGTGTGGCTGTGCCTAATTTTACATGCATTGATCTTTTTACTACTTCCTAGAAGACCATGGTTGCCAATCTTCTTTGCAAGAGTCAAAAGACCTGAATTTGGGTGTAGAAATACAAAATATTTAAAAATAAATACAGGTTCTTTTTTATTATATAGAATACTTAGCTGTGTTTTCAAGTCTGTGTATATATAACTTCCACACCAGGAAATTGCTATTATATTTGTCCTCTGGTCTGCATGTTACTGTCCATTTCTGTCTGTGAGAACACCTGTTTAGTTTCAGAGGTTTCTCTTATTTTAACCATGCTTGACTCTTTCTTTCTGCAGTGGGAGCTGGCGAAGTAGCTAACTTTGCAGCTTATGCATTTGCACCAGCTACATTAGTGACTCCATTAGGAGCTCTTAGTGTTCTCGTAAGGTAAGAACTACAATTGTTTAGAAGAAAAAACAAAATTTCAGATATAGTTAATAATAAAGTACGTTTAGAAATTTAAGTGAGCTGTCCAGCCTATCGCACTCTTAACCTGAGTGAGTTTTAGCAGTTGTGAAAATTGGAGGAATATCCCTGCCTTAGAGTTTCTGCCTACATCATGTCTGAGCTAACAGAGCTCTAGCAGTATGTCTTGCCTTGACTTACAGCATCCTGCCAATTTTCAGTCTCCCTTTTTTTTTTTTAGGGTAGAAGACCAACATTATGGTCTTAACTTTCAGGAGATTAAAGGGGTCTTGTACTACTGTACTGCTTCTATAGCCCTGTGGGAGGGGCAGGTATTCTCTAGAGCCTATAGCCCTGTGTGTAGGTGGGGATGGCATTCTCTAGAGCAGGGATCAGCAACCCCTGCCGCTCACGCAGAGCACGGCACACAAGGCCATTGTCTTTGGCATGCGTTGGGGCTGGGACCCAGCAGCTGTTTGAAGCCTCCTGGCTCTGGGTAGCTGCTGCCAGCTGGGAGCTTGGGCTGCTTTCAGCAGGTGCTGGGAGGCTGCAAGCCCTGTTGCAAGCAGCCTGGGCACTCTGGCTGGAAGCAGCTATGCAGAGCCTGGGCCAGCTGCAGCCAGGAGCCTGCAAACAGCTGTTGCCTCCCTGCCCCAGACCAGGCTCTGGGGAGGCAGCAGGTGCCAGCAATGCTCCCTGCTGTGCTGCCCTCACTGCCGCTTTTGCAGAGCAGCATGTGGAACCCAGTGCAGCAGGGCACAGTGTGGGGTGTGGAAAGCTGCTTGCCACTCTGAGCTCTCCGCTGTCCTGGCCACACTTCCCCTGCTGGCAGAAGAAGCAGCAAGGGGCACAACCCTGCATGCTGCCCACACTGCTCCCGTGCACACAGGGCAAGTGTGACCCGGGCAGCATGGAGCTTGCAGCAGCAGGCAGCTTCCCTGTGCGGACCCTCTGTGCACTGCCACTCTGGGTCGCACATGCTGTGCTCCCAGCCTTGCTGCCCTCCCCTAGGCCCTCTAGAGTGCAGCATGTGTGACCAGGAGCAGCAGTGCCCAGAGGGGCTGCAAAGGGAAGCTCCCCGCTGCCTGGGTCACACTTCCCGTGTGTCTGTGCTGCTCGCTGCTGCCCCCACCTGCAGGGGAAGTGTGGCCAGGGCAGTGGGGAGCTCGGAGTGGCAGGCAGCTTTCTGCGCCCCCTGCTGTGCCCTGTGTTCCACATGCTGCTCTGCAGAAGCGACAGTGAGAGCAGCACAGCGGGGAGTATTGCTGGCACCTACTGCCTCCTTGGAGCCCAGGGCTGGGTCTGGGGTAGGGAGGCAGCTGGGGCCAGGTGGGGAAGCAGCAGCTGTTTGCAGCCTCCTGGCTGCAGCTGACCCAGGCTCTGGGTAGCTGCTAATAGCCACGGAGCCTGGACTGGGAGACTGGGGAGCAGGGGCTTTGGGTGAGGGGCAAGGGGCATAAGCAGGGCATCCTGCCATTTACCCCCTGCCCTCATTTTGTTTTTCTGGTATATCAGCGCTCCGGCACCTTCCAAGGTAGGAATTGTTGGGGTTTTTGGCACTCCGGCCAAAAAACGTTGTCTACCCCTGCTCCTGAGAAGTGTGAAGATCATTTAGCACAGTGATTCTGAGGAGGCAGTGTGCAACTTTAAAGTAGCCCTTTGGCCTCCAGATGTTTACTAGTGGTCCAGTGTATAGCAGACATGGTTGTATGGATGACTGATTGCAGTTACTTTGAGCTTGTTTTACTAGTAGGTTTAGTTTGTGTGTATTAGTAATGTTGCAGATAGAGAGAGGCTGCATGTTACTGGGTACTGACAGATACGAGAGCTATAGACCTTTTATCTGCATAGTGAGACGGGGCATGTTTTGTCAGTTTTTTTCCCCCTTGTTGACAAACTTGGGAGAGCAGATCTTACCTCCACACAGCTTTCTAAGCACAAAGAAAGTCAGCTCTTCTTACTTAAAAAAGCATACTTAAACATTGAAGAAACTAATGTGCGATACTTTTTTTTTGTGGTTAGCTACAAACTTGTGCAAATAAATGGAATATTGTTTGATTCCTAATCTGTCAGTGTGTATGTGTTTCTTTCAGTGCCATTCTTTCATCTTACTTTTTAAATGAAAAACTTAATCTCCATGGAAAGATTGGGTGTTTGCTAAGTATACTGGGATCAACTGTGATGGTGATTCATGCTCCGCAAGAAGAGGAGGTAGAAACTTTACAGGAAATGTCCCAAAAACTTGGTGATCCAGGTGAGAGACTGTCAAGTTCAGCTATAACCAACTAATGCTTAAGCTGCTCATTCATTTATAACTGCAACTGTTGCAGATTTCTAGCACAAGAAAGCACCTCTTCTTCTGTAAGTCTATGAATTGTCAGGGGGTTGAGTTCTGTGACTTCCCCTACCTGCAGCTTGCTAGGCGTGTTTTCTTTGTGTTGCCCAAATAGGTGACCGACTACCTACAGAGGTCTTGCATGCATTTTGTCTGGTGACTAGCAGTTAGCCATTTCCCTTTTTCTAACCTATTTTACAAAGTCAAATTAACTGAAGAGGTGTGTGACTGGAAGTGTTAACCTTTTTATTGAGTCATGATACATGAAAATGTATGCTCTGGAGTACACTTTTGATTACATTGTTGGCTATAATAGTAGTGAGAGACTTGTCTTTCCAACTGTGCATAAAGCTTTTTACAAAGAAGGTAGAAGTCTCCTTTTTACAGATGTGGAAGCTGAGGCACAGAATTGATGAATTAGGTTGGGGGTCATTCAGCAAAGTGACTTATTGGCTTGTCTGAGAGGGTTGCTTTCAGGGGTAGCACCTCAGTAGAAACAAAAAGCTAGGCAGTGTACAGGTAAACCTGAATCCTCTGGCCTGGCAGTCTAACACTGTATCTATTTCAGGTGCTGGTTTGGTGGGAAGGAAGAGGTGATGGAGCTTGCCTGCCTAGAATATCGCATTGTAGCTTTTATTTTTGCCAGCTCCATTGCTGTTATCATTAAGGCTGCAAATAGACACCGACTGTGCTGCCATAAAGAGTTTATGGCAGCACAAAACCTAAGTGAACAGACATGTTAGCCCTTTACCATGACAACCTTTTTGCAGCTGACATTTTTTCACCTATGACAGAAAAACGTAGGCAGCAATGGGCAGGAGCTCCTGAGGCTTCAGGTGCCTGATCCTGCAAGACAAGGGCCCTGGGTGCTTTACCTGACATGGGACTCCTGTCTTCAAGCAGAGTTTCCCTGTTTGCAGATGCATGCCCCAAGTTCAAGCAGGGGAGTGTGGTGTGTGCTGGGGGAGTCCCTTGCAGAGGAATTCCCAGAGTATGCCTTTGCAAGCATGGAAGCAGGAAATACCCAGAGGAATGTTCCCCTCCCTAAGCTTGCAGATGCAAGCCTGGACCCTGGGGCAGCAGCTACAAGTGGTGGGCCATTTTCCTGTGTGATTGATCAGGCCCCCAAATCCCTGGGAGCAGCTGGGGTGTGACCCTGTGGGACAACAACCCCAGCAGGAAGTGTTGTCTATTCCCAGCCTTAGACTTGCTTCAGCCTGTCTCTTTGGAGGAATGTTAGGGGAAAAAAACCCAAACAACCAAGACATAAGTTGAAGGTGTAATGTTGTAGTGACAGAGTTTGCTAGACCTTGACTCTCCCTTTTACCTCCATTAAAATGTGCTCTATTTCTTGGTACCTACAAAATGATCTTCATAGTATATGAAAGCAAATGACACTTTTTTTTTTTTCTCTTTTTTTCCCTGCTGTTCCTCCCTTCCCCCTGCAGGTTTTGTGGTCTTTGCAACACTTGTCATCATTGTGTCCCTAATATTGATATTTGTGGTAGGACCTCGCCATGGACAGACCAACATTCTTGTGTACATAACAATCTGCTCTGTAATTGGAGCATTGTCTGTCTCCTGTGTAAAAGGCTTGGGCATTGCCATCAAGGAACTTTTTGCAGGAAAGCCAGTGCTGAAACATCCCTTGTCCTGGATTCTGCTGCTAGGCCTCATAGTCTGTGTGAGCACACAGATCAACTATTTAAACAGGGCTCTGGATATATTCAACACTTCCATAGTGACTCCAATATATTATGTATTCTTTACAACATCTGTTCTAACTTGCTCTGCTATCCTTTTTAAGGAGTGGCAACATATGGCTGCTGATGACATTATTGGCACTTTCAGTGGCTTCCTCACTATAATTGTGGGGATTTTTTTATTGCATGCCTTTAAAGATGTCAGTTTTACTCTAGCAAATCTGCCTGTCTCCTTACGGAAAGATGAGAGAGCAGTTAATGGCACTTTGCCAAACACTTATGAACGCTTTAATCATGATGAAGAAAGCTCAACCTGTGTAAGTGAAATACAATCCAGTGAAAATGTGTCTTCCAGGAGAAATGGAAATGTATCAGCATTCTGAGAATAGGTAAATGTTAATTAAGAAAAGAAATTCTGTAACTGTTCTTTTTTCCTTTCCTTTTCTTTACCTGTGAAATGTCTGAGTTTAAGAGCTTGTCTGGAAACAAGGTGTACTTTTTAACAGTATATATATATAGACAATCATTTAATTTTTAGGTTTAGTTAGTTTGGACCAAGAGTGGTGGAATTTCTTTTTGCCTTATTTTTATTTTACATATATTAAAAGGACCTCAGTCTCTTGTTCTTTGTTGCTTTTAACTTATCGGTGTGAACTTGTAAATATTTTTCATTTGAATTTTCCATTTTAAAGACTTATTGCACTAATGATTATTTTAACTATATCAAAAATAAATTGCTTTATTTCTGCATTGGTGGTAAACAGACTGACATGAACCTGAATCTTTTGCATCTTCTACAAAATGAACAGCCAGGCTGTCGTCTTGAGATGTAAACTACTTTCCAGGAGTGCCAGCACAATACAGTGAAAGCAAAGAAGTGATTATGCCATTTGCCTTCACTTACTGGAAACAAATAACCTGCGCTGATGACTACTGTTCTTAGGCAGTGCATTTGTAAACTTGAAATACAGGCATCCTGCACTGCAGATCTGGATTTATGATTATTAAAGCTTTTTGGTTTTGTTTGCTTTTAGACTTGTCAAACAGATCTATTCCTGAAGTAGGCAAGACTTCAAGGTTTAACTTGTTTTCAGTTTTTTAAAACAATGTAGAGAGGTGGGGGGGGCTAGGAACTATCCTCAGGCATAGCATTGTTATCCAAATGCAGTTGCTTGTACACCTTGCCCCCAACCCCAGTCAAACATGCATCAGAGGAGAAGGGAAAAAAAACTCTTAAGTTTTGTTGGCTTAATTATGGCTAACCTTTGAATGCAGAGGCAGGATTCATAGATTCATAGATTAAGGGTCGGAAGGGACCTAGTAGATCTTCTAGCCCGACCCCCCGCCAGGGCGGGAGAACAACAAAAAACCCCAAAAAGAGAAATGGGACTCAAACAAGTCCAGCCAGGTAGGCATCCAGCCTCTTCTTAAAGACCCCCAGGGTAGGGGCCAGCACCACTTCCCTTGGAAGTTGGTTCCAGCTCCTAGCCGCCCTAACTGTGAAGTAGTTTTTGCGGATGTCCAATCTATACCTCCTCTCCA